TGGCATCGTTCCTTACGGCTCACAGCTCAGACACACCAGCTTAGCCACCCACTAACCCCCCTTGAACTCCCCACAGACAGGAACAGGAAGTGCGATAAGGGCATTGTGCTCTCTCTCTCTCCAACTGTCCCAAACCCATCACTTCACTAACCTACCTGCCACTCTTCACACCAATAGGCTAATTATTAATTACAGACTTCCCATATCAGCAGCTGATGTAAGCCAAGTGCAAACGATTAGTCATAGGCATGTGACAAGTCAGTAATAATACATTCAACCAATTTCAGGTACACATTTTTTTTTTAAAGACTGCACACATCCTTGAGCCCAATCAAGACATCTCTGGAGGAAGTTCTGATTGCACAGTATCCGCACTGTATTAAACCATTTCGGAATGTGTGATGTTGGTGTGAGAATACTCATTGCAATTTGACTATAACGAATTGTAAAATCCTAATATTCAAATACCCTGAATGTGTGTAATATGTACGACCTTGTATGTGTATAAGTGTAGCGAGTGTACATGCGAGTGTCTCAAGGCTCCTTACCCTCACAGATGCGGTCGAGTCTCTGCCGCTTGACTTTGTGCTTGTCCATTAGAGCCATAAGCTGGCTGTCCTAACCCAGGACACAGCAAAACAACAGCACAGAGCACTAAGGAGCCCCTTCAACAGAACACCAGCACGAGAAACCACTACTGCCCACTGAGCAACACCTGCAGAGAGAGAGAGAGGACAGAATTGTTGTTACCTGTTAAAATGTGAAAGGTTTTACTAGTAGTCATGTCTGCTGTAATGCATTTTTTCTGCAACTTGGATTGCTCCTTTTGTGCCAATAAAGTTAGACAGAAATTGAATTTGAGAGACAGGGAGGAAGGGATAGTTACTGCTGCAGGATAGGACCTTCAACAGGTTAGTTGTAGAAATGTGGTTTCAAGTCCTAGCAGGCTAAAGTAGTTCCAATAACACAGGGTCCTATGGATGAGGCGTCCACTAAACAGATGATAGGCCTATGTTCTTACACAAAATAATATAGCATACATTTAAGTATCTACACTTGTGATGTATAACATTACATCAAAATGAATGAAACCATGACTAAAGGAACTGACAAACAGATAAACACATGCCCATGTAGTGTGTTATTGGCGAGTGTGTATTCTGCCTTCTGCTTCCTCTGTGGTAAATTCAAACCTAGGGCCTGTTTCAGTACATTGAAAATGCATACATTCTTCTCTTCCTAATGGTTATACCTGCTCTGACATGACTGGATTGGTGAAAGCGATGTAGATTAACCCTTACTTTCACCTATCCAATGGTGTGAGATCATGGCTGAATCTCAAAACGAACACTTGGCCCCTAAGCCCTTTATCAAGAGGCGAAGTGTTCAGTAGGATATTTAGCCAATGATTACCTAATCGGGACAGACAAAGGGATGGTGCAGCTTCAAAGTATTTGACCAAGGCCGTAAACCGAAAGACTAGCAACCATATGGAGGAGTGGCAGACTTACCAGCAGGAGAATCCGCTCAGTGTCTGTGTTTCACAACGTCTGTTCAGATCTCACTGTCAAGCAGACAAAACGGTTCCTTATTATCAGAAGGTCTTCTTCACTCACGCCCTCTCAAACAAACTTACTTTGATTAGATAACATATCAGTCACTACTAGTCTAGGCCTAAGCGATATAAATAGGTGAGTGCTAAACATGGAGTACTTTGGGTTGTTTGGCAGAAAGACGACGTGAGGCCTTATAACAGAAAGTGTTTGTGGAACAGTAGCTAGGCCTAGATCACTGATTGATGAAGACTGGTGTCTAACAATTTGGACAGGGGCAGGGGTATATTATATGCCATATTATAAAGAAGGCATACATGTGTATGTGTGGGCTGGGTGGTAACCTAGCAGTTAAGAGGTTGGGCCAGTAACTGAAAGGTTGCTGGTTCGAATCTCCGAGCTGACTAATTGAAATCTGTGGATGTGCCCTTGAGCAAGGCACTTAACCCTAATTGCTCCTGTAAGTAGCTTTGGATAAGAGCGTCTGCTAAATGACTAAAATGTGAAACGTAAATGTAATGTGTACAAGTTTGGCTAGGCCTACAAACTGGACTCCAACATAGAGAACAGTGTTAGTTATAATTATCTAATAAATAATATCAATTAAATCTAATACCTAGCTATGAGACTTAGCTACAAAGAATCACAATCATTAGAGTTTGAGAAGTTGGGACAACATTCCAATACGTACGTATATATGCAAAAAGTAGCAATGACATCTGGAAACCCATCACAAAGTAATCAACAGACAGTGGGTTTATGGAAACAATGGCAGTTTTTATATAATTGATACAAAGTATCCAATACAGTTGTTCGCAAGCCAAAACCATTACCACATGTGGCTGCCAAAGATTAGGCCTAACTACATTTCACTATCCCTTCAAACTCGAACAGCTAGCTACAAGTTTCAAAACTCTGCACAAGACGATATGCTAACTAGTTAACTAGCAAGCTAGATGGCTACTAATAACAACCGTTATCGCATCTGGCTAGTTAGATAGCTAGTTAGCCAGTAAACGAACATTAGCTAACTAACGTTAGGCAGCTAACTGTGCCAGATAAACAAATACGTATGATCGATAGGAATCATACTTGAATTAAACAAAACGCCCTGTAAAGCATCCCAAAAATACACACGAAGTTCTCAACCTTCTGATGGCTAGTTTATCTTTTATCAAGCATATCAATCTACCGTTGGATGGTTAGCATAGCAAGTTAGCTTGCTAGCTATCCTACTGCGTGTAGGAGATGCGTACTGGGGAGCCAATTTCGTCCGATTCGCTATCAGCGAATGGCGCTACAATGTGAATATCTGAAATGCAGTAACACAAGAACACCGGGAAACGTGGATATCCACAACGTGCACGTTATGCACGCATCATTCGCTACCCCGGTAACCTAGTAACGCACGAGCGGCGGATTATTTACCCCAATAATTGTATTTCGGTCGTGTTGAGACAGTGTCTGGACAGTGTTCGTGCGTCGGTGGTCTTCCCTCTCTCCCGATCGCCATGAAATCTAAGAAAGAGGAAGTCGCAGGTTCATGGGGGGTCAGGCCGCCGTACACAGCGTGTGACGGGCAGAGTGAGAGGTACCAGTGCACTGTTGGGAGGGGAAGGCAGAGCGCCCTCACCTTCCATGGCGGTGGACAGACAACACACCCAATCGCTTTCTCCATAATAAAGTACTTCATGTTCATGATGGACTGGATAAACTATTACGATTTATCATGCAATATTCTTTAGAGGAAATTTTTATATTTTTACAGGGTCACTGCCCTATGTTAAGTTAATTAATATAGAGCAATGTATCATGTATTGTTGTGTTTTGCCTTCAAACAAACATCCCCCCTCCAGGGCCTACTCGAATAAAATAACATCTGTTATATATCAATGATCTGTCCAATCTTTAGAACGTTTAGATAACTTTGAGTGACCACCAGGTGTCACTATAGTGAATCATGTGTCCTATGCTCTCTGGATGTTTCAAGCATTTACTTGAGGCTAGACTACTAGACTGATGCACCATTCTCAGGTGGATGTTTTCATGTTGACATAAATCTTGGAATGAAACAGGCTACATAAAGAAATCTTATCAGAAACCTGTCTTCCTAGGTTATCCCATTTGATGCCTATAAATATGCAAATACACACCCAATCTTAACATCTATCATTGAAAGAAACAGGACAAGTGATTTTTTTCTTGCAAAATTATTCTCTAATAAACTTTATTTGTACACAAATTGTGTAAGACATTTCCATCTGAAAACATAGGCTAAAAATCATCGCTCGAAAGGCCACCAATCCTCTACATCTCTACTGGTTTCTTCTCACACCCTAATGCTGCGTTTAGACAGGCAACCAAATTCGGATCAATAATTGGTCTTTTGGCCAATCAGATCAGCTCTGAAAAAGATTGATGTGAAAAGATCTGAAATGGTCAAAATACCAATTTGTGAAAGAAAAATATCAGAATTGGGCTGCCTGTCTAAACGCAGTCACACACTCACACAAAATGGTTTCCACATGTGACCACTGTACAGTACATTACATAGTGCCCTATAGGATCCAACTGCAGCGTCCAGTCAATTATTCAAATCCTATTACAGTGCAAGTGTGATCTGTTCATTAGTAGGAAACTGAATCAGAATGGACAGACTATAGAAATATAATGTAGTATCTAGATTCCATTTCTATGAGAGACCAAGAAGAAAACATCTGGATGTTATGCACAAAAACCAGTAGAGCAGAAACACCTCTTTTTTTACACTCCGCTTAAGGCATGATTAATGTACAATATTGAATTCATCCAATGGTGGAAAACAAATTAATGCATTGTCTAAGAAGCAAGGGAAACAGAAGCAGTAAAATATCAATTTACCAGCTATGAGGAAAGCACATGGGTACCCTCCTTGATTCCCTTTACAGGTGTGTGGGTATTCCACTGGGCCAAATCAACTGCGTCAGAGAGCGCATTAAGCCTACACCCATGAAAGCAGACGTGTGTGAAAGCTTTTCAGGGGGCCTTCGGCAACTCAACTGGCCATACGTTCTGGAATGTATCCTGCCGACAGGAGTGTCCATCGCAAGCAACCTGCATCATCATTTTTATAGTTGTCGTAATGGTAGCACGCCACTACCCTGATTATTAGAAAGCGTCTATTACGTTATGTACCTTCAGAATGCATCATGTCTTAGCCATCTCCATTATTACATAATGTACCTTCAGAATGCATCATGTCTTATCTATCTCCATTATGTTTCTGGGTATATACATTTACCCACAGAGTATGGACAGGCAGAACGACAGAATTGTCCTGAAATGCTGAATAAAGTGAGCTTGTTGAAGTTGCTCTAGCATTACACTAATGCTAATATTGATCCTTATTAATCTAGTCAGCCAGTGATATGAAGGGCTCCTAATGTGGCCCCTTTGAGTGGGGGGGGGGGGGGGGTAATATGATGATGATGAATGCAGTCAATCACACACGGAGCACCAGGGAACTCTTTCAATTCTCCTCAATGAGGTTCAAGTCCAGTTCTGTGCAGTCTCTCTCAAACACACTCTGCTGTCCGGCCTCTAGCACACCCATATTTATGTTCTCCTCTTCCTCACTTTCACTCAGTGGTCCAATGCTGCTTCTTCCCAGGTCTGCAGGGGAGAAGGCTCCTCTGAAGTCCCCTGGAACAGGCTCTAGACACATATAGACAGCCGCTCCACACACCAGGGGCTCCCCACTGCGAATCTACCCACAGAACAGAAAGACAAATACTTAATATCTTCAGCATTTCCCAGAAAAACAAGTTTATCCACACAACTCAGCTTTATCTGAAACTAATAAGCCTACACCCATGAAAGCAGATGTGTGTGCAGGCTTTTCATGGGGACCTTCGGCAACTCAACTGGCCATACACTCTGAATAGTGAGCTTGTCGAAGTTGCTCTAGCGATACAATAATGGTAATATTGATCAGACAGTGATATGAAGGGCCCCTAGGAACTTGCCAACAGCTTCTAGCATGTTTCGGTGGTTATTCAAACACCATTTGAGAGTAATGCTTGTCCTCCATGTTCTATTGGTTTTCAAAATCAACATTATTTTATTGTCCAGCAGCCAAAGGCATAATCCTAGCCCATATTAGTAACCTATGCATCTTTAGATCTCACCTTATTTTCAAATTGATATTTTCAGCTCTGTCACATGAAACAGCTTGTGCATATGGTGCGCTTTTGAGAATGGTGTTTTCCCACTAATTGCATGTTGGAACACTCACGAAAAGCCTACAATCACATGCACATTTTTGAGCTTATAAAATAAAGAAAACATCAACATTTTAAGCCAAAGCTGTCTGATCGGTTGAATCAGCCTCATTTATTTTTTTAATGTGCAGTGGTTGTATGAATTTTGGATCGGTTGTCCCAAAACTCTCCCAGAGTCTGTTTTGAACTGTAGACATAAAAATATAATATTTTGTAAAGTGGTTCCTTGCATCATACAATGATGTAAAAATGGTGTTACAGAACAAAAAATCAGTCCTAGTTGTCCAAAGGACAAGCTGCATTTTTTTAAATTGTCAAACCCTGGTGAGAATGTCCACCTTTCAAATGAGACCGGTCTATGCAAATCATATGTAAATGCATCTGTACATGCACTGGCCATTTCCCCCCATCCTGTTCAGAGACCCCAGTCAGAGCCAACTCGGAGCTGTCCCTTGGGCTTGTTACACTAGAAAGGCAGCCATTTCATAAACCACCACCCACCATCTTAAAACATGACACAAGGAGACACACAGCCAGCTAGCTGCAGACCCAGCAGCAGCAGCTCCAGTCACACCCACAGGTCCCACGCCCAGAAGGCCATACAAACCAACCGGGGCTGAGAAAAAAAAAAAGACATCATTGAGAAAGGAGAAGTGATGACATCACTCCCCAGAGCAGGAAGTCAGTAGCAGTGGTTAAATATACATGGCTGGGGTGGTGGTCCATAGAGGCAAGACATTTGGCATGGGCACATATTAACCTTGTCCCTTCCAGGCTCATTTGCTACCGCATATAGAGAGCCTGGTAACACTGCAACAAAGTGGGACTTGAAAGGAGCGTGGCTTAAAATAAAGGCGGGAGAGGGACCGAGCCTGCTACAGCTGTATTAGATGGGACTGAAAAATTTAGAAAATCACCAAATCAAAAGAAATGTTCCATCACATTGACAATATTATTTTTGCAAAGCCCAATTGAATCGGAGATGGGGTATATAAAGTTTGTGAAAAATATTTATAAGATTCGTACTTTCAGATTTTACGAATTCACTTCCTTGTTTAAATAATAATAATAATAATAATAATAATAATAAGCCATTTAGCAGACGCTTTTATCCAAAGCGACTTACAGTCATGCGTGCATACATTTTTGTGTATGGGTGGTCCCGGGGATCGAACCCACTATCTTGGCATTACAAGCGCCGTGCTCTACCAGCTGAGCTACAGAGGACCACACTTCTCACGCTTTGAAGTCCACTATGTAGGGGGAGGTTCTAAAGGGTTGCGCTAGATGATGATGGACAGAGATCAGCTAATATTCAAATTCATTGTTTTGTCTGCTCCTGCCATAGCCTTCATTCAAGTCCCTTTCTGTGGCGCCGTTGAAGCCAGACGGTTCGATAGAGAGAGTGCCGGCTGGTGGAAAAGATCAGGCACATTTCAACGATTGGACACATAGGAATGCAAGGGTCAGCCCAAAAACACACATGGCTGGTCAGGGCAATGTGGTTCCATGGCCAGGCAGCACAGTACCGACAACGCCACACCCTGAACCCAAATCCAGACTGGTCCGGTCTGGCTGGGACAGGAATGTGAGAGCAGTAGTTCTGGCTCATGACGGGAGGTGGAGGGGGCGGGGGGAGAGTCAGAGAAACAGAGGCCCACTTCTCCTGGCTAATGACCCCAAGTTCCCAACATAAAACACTCTGGTCTGCGGCGAGAGAAGCAGGAGAGCTGGGGGGTGTGGGATGAGGGGCTGCAAATGACGGAAGTTTGCTCTGACTCGAGGAGAACTATAAACAGTTTCTACCAAAATGGTGCATTGTGTTATTTTGGATCCTCTGCATTTCTGAATAGGCCTTACAATTGTTGTACATCTCATCAAGCTCACCGGAGTCATCTTGCTGAAGTCCAGGCCAGGCCTGATGTAGTAGGGCAGAGTGTCCGGGTCATGGCGTCTCTTCAGGCCGGGCTTACGCAGGTCACAGGGCTGAGAGTGGCAGCGTGGGAGACAGGGGGGCAGGTCGCGCCTCGAGGACGACGGGGAACTGCAGGCTGAGGAGGGAGAGGGGGCCGGGGGCTCCATCCCAGGGTAGCGAGGGGATAGACCTGGAGCAGGAGAGGGGGAGGGGGAGGGCCGGGGAGGCAGGATGTGCACAGGGGACAGGGAGAAGCGGCGTTGCTGCAAGGGCCGACAGGAACCCAGTGAGGCCGGGGAGGAGGAGCAGGAGGAGGGGGCGGGGAAGAAGCCGGTGCAACCCCCCCTGGGCGGGTCATAGTGGTCCCAGGGACAGCCCCAGGGGAGAGGGGAGTCAGGGGACATGGCCAGGCTGAAGAAGGTGGGGCTGGAGGAGGAGTGCAGGGAGGAGGTGAGGGAGGAGCTGGGGCCTCGGAGGGGTACGGAACCCACCAAGGAGCCAACCCCCATGCTGGCCACACCCCCTCCACTGTGGCAGCGGCGCTTGACTGGGGTCCAGATCTTGGAGGCGCTGGGGCGCCAGGGGGTGCGGCAGTGGGACAGGTCTTCGGGGACAGACAGGGAGCGGCAGTGGCGTTTGGGAGGAGGAGGGGGGCGGCGGCGGGGAGCTCTGCAGGGACAGGTCTGTCACAGAGGTGCTGGGGAGAGGGAAAGGCGTCCCGAGTGGGTCCAGGGATGACAGGACAGAGGAGGCATCCTGCAGGTGGGTCTTGGAGGATGGGAACATAGACCAACTGCTCTCTGGAAGTGAAACAAACCAAAGATATGAATCAATGTAGGCCCTTCCCCCAGTTAATGATTGAACCTGATCTTTGAATGAGGCCCTTTTATTTAAAAAAAGTTTCAGGAATTAATAGATCCTTACCTGGAGTCAACCCATACCCGCTCCAACACATAGTGGGGCTGGAACCCACTTCAGGCAATGACTGAAACAGCAATGAAGAGAAGGGGATTTAAAATGACAAAGGCAACCCTTATGGCAAAGGGTAATTCCTTATGGAAGAAGTGCTATACAACAACTCGTGTGTGTGTGCGCGCGCCGCATGGCATGCTCACCACGTTGAGAGAGAAAGACCTGTGGTAAGGGGGCTCCTCCAGATTCTGTTTGCGGAGTTGTTCTGTAATGAGCGTCACCATGGCGACTTGCAGATGCCAAGGAGGAAGGGAGGAGGAGAGGGGGGGATTGGGTGTTTGTCAGGCCGTCAGACTCCTGGCGAGGTATGTGGAGTCCCCTCCGCACCTCAACCGGCCAGACAGACCCTTCCAACCTCACTGTGACACAGTCATCATCAACATCTTGTTCACCTCACCTGAAGAGAGAAAATACAGCATTTAATGCTGAGTAGTAAACTCACATTCACATGACTCATTTTACCAGGATTTGATTAGCATGTCAAGGAAAATCATAGCATCACAGATACAGAATGATTTGGAGCGTGAGTCAATTTCCCCCAGAAAAACAAGTTAAAGGATTTCCCAATTTATCAGGAAATGCCCATCTTCTAATCTCTCGGCTGTGCTTTGGGTCCTAACAGGAAAGTGTGTTTAAACCTCGTTTGAATCATAGTGTCATTAGTCTACTTATTAACTTAGTCCTCTTAAAAGAGGTTAAATAAAGAGGTTGCGAAACTCAGCAACGCAGGTCACTGTAAAACAAGCAGCTATGTTTACACAGTTTTGTGAGAAGAGAAAACCCCCAAAAGAAGTTTGAGTGAACACCTAATGAGTGTGTTCTGCAGACTTCCCAGATCACAGAGCTAGGCGATATCAGACACAGGCTAGGAAATTGGCTAGCTAGCTAGCCATCTGGTTGCCTAAGAGAGATAAAAGTTATTCAGACACAGATTGAGAGTTTTGGGGAATAGCCTACTACAGCACATTATAGTCAAGTGGGTCCATTTCAACAATGAGTGATAAGAGTGTGCCGACTGTAGAGGGCCATGAGAATGGAATGGGGAGGGAGCGGGCGAGGGAAAGAGGGGGAGGATGGGGGAAGTGTGGGAATTGGAGGTGAGAGGGGCCAAAGGCACGCCATGCCTGCTCTGTGAGAGAGACACAAGGGGGAAGAGAAAGTGGACAACAGGACTAGAAGAAGCTTAAAATGACCAAAACACAGAGAACAAACAATATGCACACAAGGAGCAGAGCACCACTAGGAACCATGCAGTGACATGCAAAACAAGGTGCCAGTTCATAGAGTTCACTGACACATTCCACACCGTACATTTTTTTTGCACGCAAATACCAGTCGTCAACTTTTAAACAGATGTAACAGTTATTGACACTAGACACACCCTACGGGGAGAAACTGACTCTGCTATGGCCTATACAGTACCACACCAAATAAGGGGGGGGGGGGGGGGGGGGGGCAACAATGCAAATAGTCCAGGTAGCCATCTTATGGCTTGGGGGTAGAAGCTGTTTAGAAGCCTTTTGGTCCTAGACTTGGCGCTCCGGTACCGCTTGCCGTGCGGTAGCAGAGGGAACAGTGTATGACTAGGGTGGCTGGAGTATTTGACAATTTTTAGGGCCTTCCTCTGACACCGCCTGGTATAGAGGTCCTGGATGACAGGAAGCTTGGCCCCAGTGATGTACTGGGCCGTACGCACTACCCTCTGTAGTGCCTTGCGGTCGGAGGCCGAGCAGTTGCCATACCAGGCAGTGATGCAACCAATCAGGATGCTCTCGATGGTGCTGCTGTAGAACTTTTTGAGGATCTGAGGACCCATGCCAAATATGTTCAGTCTTCAGTATGCCTGCCCATACCATAACCCCAACACCACGGGGCACTATGTTCACAACGTTGACGTCAGAAAACCACTCGCCCCACACAATGCCATACACGTGGCCTGCGGTTGTGAGGCCGGTTGAAAGTACTGCTAAATTCTCTAAAACAACGTTGGAGGCTGCTTATGATAGAGAAATTAACATTAAAATCTCTGGCAGGAACTCTGATGGACATTCCTGCAGTCAAAATCAAATCAAATGTTATTGGTCACACATATTTAGCAGATGTTATTGTGGTTGTAGCGAAATTAAAATTTTAGTCATTTAGCAGACGCTCTTATCCAGAGCGACTTACAGTTAGTGAGTGCATACATTTTTCATACTGGCTCCCGTGGGAAACGAACCCACAACCCTGGCGTTGCAAGCGTCATGCTCTACCAACTGAGCTACACGTGGCTTGTGTTGCTACCTCCATCAGCGCAGTAGTATCTAACAAGCAAAGTTGCTTAGGCGCTAGAAGCAGAGCAGCCATGTCTGTCGGCGCCATCTTGCCATCAGCATGCCAATTGCACGCTACCTCAAAACTTGAGACATCTGTGGCATTGTGTGGTGTAACACTGCACATTTTACAGCTGCCTTTTATTGTCCCCAACATTAGGTGCACCTGTGTAATGATCATGCTGTTTAATCAGCTCCTTGATATGACACACCTGTCAGGTGGATGGATTATCTTGGCAAAAGAGAAATGCTCACTAACAGGGATGTAAACTAATTTGTGCACAAAATTGGAGAAATAAGCTTTTTGTGCGTATGAAAAATGTCAGATCATTTATTTCAGCTCATGAAACCAACACTACATGTTGCGTTTATATTTTTGTTCAGTGTAGATGACTAAGAGCAAGGTCTCTTCCTGGTTTTGGGAACTATGGGGAGTTCTCACCTTCCAACTACCTACTGTTGCTTTAAGTGCTTAGGGCTATGTGGCAAGAGAGCATTTTATTGTGGGTAGCACTAAATATGGACTAGCCATCTCACAAAACTTAATTTGACTTAGTTTGTGGGTGAACCATAACAAATAAACATTAGATTTCAAACCTACCAAGCAGTTAGAAATGCTAATGACTAAAACGTGCATGGTAATTTAATATATATAGATTGTTCGGGTTAAATGGCACGTGTGCCACTCACTGACTAACCTATACAGTTTAGCTAACTAATAACCAGTTCAGAAATACTTTATCAAGTTCTGGCAACCCAGCTAGCAGGCAACTTTTTTTGGATGTTATCAAAGAAAAGAAAGTATCTCAAATCAATAATAAGAGTGGTAAACCAACTCGAGCCAGAGACTTAGCTCAGTTCTCCATCTTCTGATCTAGCTAGATTATAGCTAGTTACTAGCTAGTAACTAATATACATATCAGTTGGCTAGTAGGAAAGCTAAACCTACTACAACAGATGTGATGACATTGGATTATTGCTTGCTATGAATAATTAGTTGCAATATGGCAAGCAAATTGCAAACAAATTAGTTCGATTTGGTCATCATTACCCCAAATACGTAGCTAGCAGCTAATGCTTACTGCAAAAGGCATCTGGCTAACAATGATTAACGTCACAGGTCGCAAGCTGTGGCAAACTAGCTAGCTGTCAGTGTTGGCTAACACACTGCTGTATCACCACAAGCATGTCTAGCTAGCTGTCCATGTAGCTAACGTTAGCTTGACAGCAATCTAGCTAGCAAGCTAACTCTAGCTAGCATGAACAAGCTGCAGCCCATGGGAAGTGACCGTCCTTCACGGTTATTGCAAGATGGGTAACAGTTCGTCAAATTGAAGTCAAAAGTTTATTTTAGTTCAGCTAACTCCAAGCCCTTTCATAAGCTTAACCTAATTCTCCAAACCTGTTACATTAATTATCCTAACCTGCTACGAATAGTAAATTATGTATCCCATCTAGACATAAACCCCTATCACTCAGCTGTTTGCTAGCATTCTAACTATGTTTTCATGCTTACATATTTAATTTTCAAAGTATCTGAAGCCATTTTACATAACAGTATAATAAAATTCTGTTGATTATTGACAGCAAACCCAGATTGTGCTTCGAAAACTAGCTACCTCGCTGATGATGATGATGAAGACGAATTTACCTGCCCACCTCGTCACCTTAGCAACCGAAAGCAGCACCGGACAGAATATGGCATTGCACCGAATATATAGCCATTGGAAGAAACCATTAAAAGGGTGGGTAGAAACGTCTAAATGCGTATATTTTTATTACACCAAATATTTTATATCACAATCTATGAATTAATTCTATATATTCTCCAAAAATAAAAGTACACCTTCAATTTGAAAAACGTTGAAAATCAAAAACTCCCGCATCGTGCTGAAAGTAGCTAGCGTATAACCACAGCTATCTTTGGTATAACCCTCCGGGAGGCGATGTTCTGGAAAACAAGAAAAAAAACGTATTATAAAGAAAAAAATGAAGATCAAAGCATTGAGTACATGCTTTTTTCAGTGATAATATGCCAGCAACGTATATTTTGCCAATACTACAGCCTTTATTAGTCATTTTGGAAATTAGTGTGCCCGGGAGATCCCAGCGCTACAAAAACATGTTTTGAACTCTGGGTAGTGTAGTTTGGAAGATTTGTTGTTGTGATGGTAAGGGTGCTATAAACTATGATAACAATAGCATTATTACAGTTTTTGCATGGGAAAGAAAACTAAAATGCTAGATTTCCCTTGTACCAAAAGACAGACACTATTAGTTTCCTGAAAATGATCCATAATGAACGCCTACATACAGACTGACGCATGCGTAGTTGTAAATGCACATGATTTCTGAACGTTTTAATGGCAATAGCAGAAAATACAACTCGAGTCTGTAGTTCCATTTAGTAGTATAAACTAAGCGAAAAGCAGTGGTGGCTTTGGAAACATTCAGAAAAGAAGAGACTCTTGCAATGCAAAACAAACTGATTGGGTATGTAACTGTGCATGAATTGAAGAAAATCAACCCTTGACGCTTGTAAACCAGGGTCGGTACAGTATGAATACATTGACATGTAAATGGTGTGCATTATGTCTTTCCTAGGCAGTCTTGCAGACTCTTCTATTCAGACGAACCTGTGAAGATAGTCCAGAGGACAGTATTTGTATGACGAGAATGGCAAGTAGTATTTGGACTGTATCAGCAACGTTCAGCACGGTAAGAGACAAATCTATCGGTGACGTTCTTTTAATGCATCTTATTGGCATATTTGATAAGTATTCTGTTGTATTCGGTGTATTTTGTGACAGCACAGCAGCAAAGGACACAGTCCAAAGCCCTTTGAACATTACAGGACAACATAATCAACACAACTGTGCCTCCTAGTGGTAAGTGTATGTGACGACATGTTGACAACGACGGATCGTTGTTGCACCTATAGTGGGTCACTGTCATCCCAGCATCACACAAGCGGACACGGTGCAGATGGAGCTTCTGAATGCCAATTCACGCTTCCTGCACGACAGTATAGTACAGAATGCCGACCGCCTCGCTGACACTCTGCCCGACAAGTTGTGTGTCTTCTATTTTGTCAACTCAGGGTCAGCCCACAACCTGAAGTCCTCCTGCAACACAACCCCAATGACATATGCATGAGATATAGGAAGAATAATGTAATATATATATTGGTATAAAATATATAGGAAGAATGTAATGTGTGTTTCCAACAGTTCAGAGGCAAATGATCTAGCATTACGCTTGGCCCACCAGTACACCCAACATGAAGACCTCAGTGTGGTTGACCAGTAGGTTTCTCAAATATCACACTTCAAACACAAATGCTGTTCTGCTACCTTTTCAAATGCATGTCTCAGAAGATTCTCTCTCTAAATGTACTCCATCCCTATTTTCCCCCTCTTCCTCCATATCATGGGCACCTGACTTCGCTTATCAATATCAGGCCATACAAGTTCCGAAAACTGACAGAACAGAAAAAGTGGGTTTACGTGGTGTGTAAGACACATATTGCATGCCTCTATTCTTTGGTGAGTGTGCTATAAAAAGCTGATACTGGCATTACACTCCATTTCATTATTACATGCCCCTGTAGCAGACACCTATAGAGGTGTGTACAGAGAGGACCATCCCAACCCAGACATATGCAGATACTGTGAAGGACGTGGCAGATAAGGTGCACCAAAGAGGTTGCAAGGTATGGCAAATACAATAGGTTTTGCGTGGACAAGGAGAAGTTAGATGACAGTCTCAATTTGGACACAGAGCAGTGTGCAATGCTGATAGTGTAGTAACAGTGTAACAATGCTCATTAGTAGTGTTCTAATTCAATGGATATACTCTCTCAAAATGGACTTGACCCACAGGTTTTTGAATTTTTCATTTAGTCGTGGCCCAGCGATGGAGGCCAAATCCTCTTGCCCAAACGATACAAAGTAACAGAGTAGGTACTGCCTCGGAGCATACAATATCAGTGCACTATTATACTGTACCATTCTCTCAGCAGCGAAGACTAGGTCGAACAGCCAAATCCTCACTAGTTTGGATCGAGGTCATTGAGCATAGTAAAAGCTATATTTTGGGGGGGATCTCTCCACATATATGTGTGCTCTGCAGGGAGAGTGTTTGTGGCAGACGAGGTGAAGACAGGTTTTGGGCGTGTTGTTAGCCACTTTTGGGCCTTCCAGCTTCAGGGTGATGATGACTTCTGCCCTGACATAATGACCATTGGCAAGGCGATGGGCAACGGGCATCTCCTGGCATGTGTGGCAACCACAGTGGAGATAGCTGGGGCCTTCAAAGACAACGGAGTGGAGTACTTTCACACAGTGAGAGACTAGTAGCGGCTGTTACCACCTATATATTATGCGTATAAAGAAAATAAGGTGTACAGTGCACAAAAAATCATGTACATGTTTGTTTACTGCACCCACAACCAATAAACCTTGATATGTGTAGCTCAAATTAGGAGGCTCATCCCTAATCATGATTTGTGGCTCTCCCGTGACTGTGTGCAGTTTGGCGGAAACCCAGTGTCATCGGACGTGATTGAGAAGGATTGAGAAGGACCTGAGGGGGAACTCCACACGAGTAGGAGGGCACCTATTGGACCTGCTGACGCAGCTACAGACTAAACATCCAATCATTGGAGATGTCCGGTAGGGGCACTATGGCCTGAATTATGTGAAGGTAATGGCCGTGTTCCTCTGACATGCCAGATCGTACAACACCTGGATAGGTATTTCACATATCAGCTGACCATGTTATAGCAATCTGGTGTCCGAAGGCAGTCAAATACTTGGCATGCAACCATTAGTTGATGCATGCAACATCTGAGCAGGGGAACGCACCCAAGGTCTTTATAGTAACCATTAACTACCAACATATTATTATGCATTCTGAAATACTGGCTTTGTGTTTATTCTTGGGGCCGCTTGTGGGCTTGAGCTGGTCACAGTGCAGAGGGGCTGTTGTGGGCTTTTCCAAATAAATCTTAGCATTACCTTAAAAAAATTGGAATATCCTTTGGTCTTGTCTCCTATTCCAGACTGAAAGAGGAGTACGTCGGTGTCAGTTTAGAAAGCCCCTGGGAGAAGTGTCAAGTTTAAACCTCCCATGTGCTTCAGTATGGAGGACGCAGAGCTGGTGGCAGATGGGATACACCCTATTCTCACAGGTGATTGGAACACAAACCCTGCAGCCTTGAATGTTGCATATTACAGGACATTCACATCATAGTATTTATTACTCACAGGTGATAGGAATGTCCCATCCTAAAACAGCTAACGTCAATCCTCTTAGCCTACTGCAGTGTTTGCAGAACTGAAGGAACCTGAAGCTTCAGGTAGCTTACACCTACCTGAAGCCTTTATACCTGCAAACACAATAGATGGGAATAGGGGTTGGACCAGGCCAATGACACTTAACCAACCGTCTTGACGGGTCCATACTAAACACCATCTAAGCAGGTATGGAGGGACCTGTTGACAAGTCTACTTTCTCTCCCCAGACATGGAGAGCAGTCAAGAACTGGACAATGGAGACATCTAAGGTTTGTACAAACCTGTAGAAAGATTTAATTGCATCAGACAGTAAGAATTGGTCACAGTAAGAAGGTAGTGGTATGGATAGTGTCAAGTACTCTAGTAGATTAACAGTTAAAGTGCATTTCAGACATTTGGATTTCATAAATGTCCTTGCTATCCAGCATCCTTGGGACGTCCCAAGGATCCCAGGAAAACACTAACCATTTCATAAACAGAGCACAAGAACTGGAGCCATTGTGGAGGAAGACAAGAGAAGGACTGCAGACATATTAAAAAGGTAGCCCATCGCATGATCCATACCACAATTAAGGCTAAAAAGCCAAATCATTAAGATTACGCTTCTAGATCTAACACATGAATGTTTGTGACAGTTCATGATGTGGAATTAGTGACCGCTTTTGGTCCTGCATGAGGGACAGAAAAGGCAGTGACATGCAATATATTTGTTCTACTAGAATACCATGTACTTTCGCTATGATGTGATAATGACATGAAAACATTTAAAATACCTTGACGCTCACATTTATACTTCCTGTGAAAACAGATCCAATCCCCCACCACATGGTAACTACGGGATAAAGAAGTGCTAAGAACTAAATTAAGTGCTACTGATACAGTAGGAAAGAGAACATCGTGGACATCAACTTGGAATGGACACTGGCCCAGGTAGACTGAAGAGAAGTCACATCCAGCTGATCTTGATAATTGCACATTGCATGGCAACAGTGACTTTATACACAAGTATCAAAGGACTATTAATGACAAGCAAAAAATTATGTGGTAGGAGTGCACTTACCAGAGGACTACAGTTAGCACCTTATCCACCTATAACATACCAAATACTGTAGTTACACTTCAGATCCATAGCTGGGTAAGATCAGCTAGCTCGGAAAGTAAAATCGACATGTACGTAGCACGGCTTTCACCCCCATTGACTGATTCCCTCTGCCTGCGAAGTATCTGCCACCGCATCCCAAAGAGGCATCCGTACGAAGCGATTTTAACCTTACCCAGGACAAGCAAGCCATTTAACAGTACAAAGCAGTTAACAGTAACCACAACAGCATTAGTTTTATAAATAATAACAAAAGGATCCACGTGTAATATAAACCAAAAGTTTATTTCTACCAATTTGCCCAAGACACTAGAGGAATGAGTTTCCAGTGAGAGAGGGAAGACCCTCTTACATTAACAGGCTTGCGCTCGGTTGGATTGTATGGTTTGTAACACTAGTAAAGCCACTTTTAAAATGCAGACAAGATGGGGGGGTGGGGGGGGGGGGATCTCCGTAAAAGCCAAAAAACAAGTGCTGGTTGTCATCGTCTACTAGCCAACTGCAAACATTCACTAGACAAGCTTACAATGAAACCTTTGATTAGTTTAATCCCTTCTCGCCTCACCCCACATCTGAAGCCATGCAACTCGCATCAAACACTCAGCACGAGGAAAAAAAATAAAAAAAACACTACAATTCTAGAAACAGCAACAAACAAAAAAAAGTTTATTTGAAAAGCTTCCGAAAGCTATGCTCCTGTTTGTTGGTAAGTCCAGCAGACATGTAAAATACGACCATACAATACATTAGATTCAAAAAGGTACCAAAAAGTACAGTAAAAATAACACTTCCATCTCTGGAAATGGACACAAAACAATATCAAATAAAAAGTGGAAGTGGCATTTGCATCCCCCAGTTCCTCACTTCATCTGTACATATGGGGCATGAGGCCAAATTTCTGCCAACTCCAAAGGAAAAGCCAGAGCCCATGTTCGCTGTGGCCGGACCATGGGTTTCTTTTTTCTTATTTACTTTAGACCTTAAGAGAGAAACATGGTGCTTACAGTTACTGAGCATAACCAAATGGCATTTAGTATTACACAAGGACACCATGATGTTTATGAATTATTATTTTGTTACTTATGTTAAATGAACAAATACACCCAGAGGGGGGAGCACATTAAAGGGGACATGACACCTAGCTGCCATACCCAGCACCCCATCAGAAAGGCCCTAATGCTTATGCTGGGTCAACCACCACCACCACCTCAACCCTTATTGATCAAGTAGTGTTTGTAGGGATGCATCTTAAAATGGTTGGCACATGGAATGAGTCCATTACTAAATATTTCCAGACCCTCATCACCCCCCTCCCCCGTTAACAAACGTTTGAATGGGATCAGACTAGATGGGAGAAATTTCGGAGTCAAAGGCACAAATGGTTACAGTTAGATTGTCATATCACCATAGATGATGCAAAAATGCATACCTGCACTACATGTGATCAGTATGGCTTGTAGCTACTCTGGTGGCCTCCACGTCTTGGAGTTTTCCCATAGCCTGCATTGCCCTGGTCTGGAGGACAAGAAAGAAAGGGACTGAGTGTCTTCCGTACGACAAGGACCAACAAAGTTTCTCACATTTGCGTTTCGGGTGGTTATCGCTTACTGTAGTCATAGCCACCCCCATAGCCATATCCAGCGGAGTAGTCGTAGTTGCCGTAGCCTCCGTATCCGCCGTATCCTTGCTGTCCACCATAGCCGTAGCCCTGGTTACCGTAGCCTTGGTTCCAGTAGTTGTTGTATCCACCACCACCACCACCACCTTGGTTCCAGTTCTGGCCCTGACCTGAGATTAACAAATCATAAAAGTCATTACAGTGACTAGATGCAGTTATATAACCCAAACTGCTCTAACTACTGATCTTGGGACTGTGAAGTACAGTTTCCCAGGTTATCAGCACCAGAGGTTTGGTGTTGATACTGACCTCCACGACCCCTGCCTCTTCCTCCCCCTCCACGGCCGCCATACTGCTGCTGCTGGTACACCTCTTTGGGCTGGGCTATTTTAATCTCACACTGGAACAGATCGGTAACATGAAAACGCAAGTCAGCAATGGAAAAAAAGGTTGGCCACACTCACTGCATGGATCTTCAATATGAGGGTTACAAGTTCCCTGAGGAAATCACCACTGTATTTACATAAATCGAAAGCTCCATTTGAAAGTGGCAACATCGTAAGTCCTCAATCACAAGTGGCCAAAGAGTGACAATGCACTTGACCGCGATCCCATTCTCACCTTGCTTCCACTGACGTTATGGAATTTCTTTTCTAGCACTTTTTTGACCGGAGTTTCCTCCTTATACGTGATGAACACGAACCCCCTTCTCTTTTCCGTCTTTGGGTCCTGTGGAAGCTCAATAGTCTCGATCTGCATGTCAAGAGAAGAGGAAACAAGTACTGTTAAAACACCACCAATACAACCAAGTGAGTGCTACCACACATATCCAAATCAGAGATATGGATACTGTACCTCGCCAAAGGTTCCAAAGTACTCCTGGATAACTTCCTTTTCTGTGTCTGGGTTGAGGCCACCGACAAAGATTTTCTTAACAGGCTCCTTCTTCATGGCCATGGCCTTCTTGGGGTCGATCTGTCGTCCATCTAGTCTGTGTTCCTTCTGCTCGAGAACCTAGAAAAGAAGAATGATCAGGAGAATGAAGGGCAAATAGTTGCATAACCACAGGGATGTTGCCTTGCTGTAAAACTCCACATGAAAACACATTGACATTTAATATGCAACCCAAACAAAACTATAATTTCTTACCTTGTCTACACCGGCTGCCTCTTTGAAGAGAATAAAGCCAAAGCCTCTTGACCGGCCTGTCTGCTGGTCCATCTTTATGGTGCAGTCTGTCACTTCACCGAATTTAGAGAAATAATCTTTAAGATCTTTCTTACTCGTGTCCCAGCTAAGTCCTCCAACAAACATTTTCCTAACAAAGAAAAATGGAAAACATTAAATATGGCGATTGAGCAACACAAGTGCTCTAAGTGTTACGGAACATATTGTTGCTATTGCTGACGTAGGAAGGCTGGGCCTACTACAGCATGTTCAAAACCACGCACGCCCACAACAAAACCACAAATCATTTTGATGAGAAACAAAACCAATGTGCCATAATTAACAGATTAAACAATCGCGCCCACCAAAAATATACAAAAACGGCCGAGGGAGTGTTACATTTCATCGCAGAATTTGGCCATCCCATAGATATTAAAGGCCCATCCCCCCCTTAGCTCCGCACATGGCGCCAACAAAGCCAGACGTAACAAAGGAGCGATGAAATCCAGTAAGAACTCTGCCGAGATCGAATCCAATATTTCGAATACATTTCTACACTTACCCTGCGTCCTCCTCTCCTTTGCTGGCGTTGATCTGCCCGCCTTCGCCCTCCGAGGCACCATTTTGTGAATCTTCTCCCTCCCCTTTGCCTTCTCCCTCTAATGCCGTCTTATCTTCTACGCAGGCTTCGGTCTCTGCCTCGCCTTCATTCAGGGCTTCGGTCTCATCGGCGGGCTCGGCTCCGTTAAAGTCCTCCTCGCCTTCATGGCCGTTTTCGGATGTTTCCATAAACTGTTGCTCGGTGTCAGACATTTTGTACTAAGATCCCTTGTCCTGCAAAGTGAAACATTGTTACAAAATGACATGTTATTATGTAACCTACTCGCCGTACATGCTTCGCCATTATGCTATGCATTCAGTCCCCCCACCATTTTGGCTGGCAAAGATTGTCTCCCATACATTTACAGAAACCCATGTTTCCAGAATGCAAGCGATATATGGCAATCGACTCGTCGAATGCGGTTGCAACAAAGTGACCATTCGTGCACCCTCTGAAAATAAAAATAAAAGATCGACAAATAATGTAGAAAGCTGTATCACGCCGATAAACCGCTAGCATGAACCATAGTACCACTCCGTTACGTAATGCTAAGGCTACACGAGCTAACGCTTTGCTACTGAAATAGTACAACCACATTTACATCTAATAACGAAAACAGTTACGGTACTTACACAAATAAAATACAAAAGAATCTCCCCAAATCGCTTAGTGATACCACAACCAGACGACGCTCTCCAAAATGGATTCTTCCATACGACGCCAAGTCGTCGTAGGTTATATAGTACCGGTTTAAAAAAACCGACCTTTCATTTAGGGGGCCTCTGATTTGATCCCCAAAGCTGTCAATCATGGCCACGGCCAATTATATACCTCAGTTCATTTTTCACATAGGTGTACACGCCCACTACACATTAGAACTTTCAGTATCTTTTCTGCTGGGTACATTGTTGAAGGTACAAGCCTGCAAACTATACTGAACAAAAATATAAACGCAACATGCAACAATTTGTCAGTTTTTACTGAGTTACAGTTTATATAAGGAAATAAGTTAATTGAAATAAATTCATTAGGCCCTAATCTATGGGTTTCACATGACTGGGCAGGGGTGCAGCCATGGGTGGGCCTTGGTGGGCAGAGGCCCCCCCCCAGATGATCCCTCAGGTGAAGAAGCCGATGTGGAGGTCCTAGGCTGGCGTGGTTAAACATGCTCTGCGGTTGTTGGACCTACTGCCAAATTCTTTAAAACAACATTGCAGGCAGCTTATGGTAGAGAAATTAACATTCAAGTCTCTGGCAACAGCTCTGGTGGACATTCCTGCATTCAGCATGTCAATTGCACACTCCCTCAAAACTTGAGACATCTGTGGCATTTTACATCATTTAGCAGACACTCTTATCCAGAGCGACTTACAGGAGCAATTAGGGTTAAGTGCTTTGCTCAAGGGCACATCGGCAGATTTTTCACCTAGTTGGCTCGGGGATTAGAACCAGCGACCTTTCAGTTACTGGCACAACGCTCTGAAACACTAAGCTACCTGCCACATTGGCTTTTTATTGTCCCCAGCACAAGGTGCACCTATGTAATTATCATGCTGTTTAATCAGCTTCTTGATATGCCACACCTGTCAGTTGGATGGATTATCTGGGCAAAGGAGAAATGCTCACTAATAGGGATGTAAACAAATTTGTGCACAAAAATTGAGAGAAATAAGCATTTAATTTTTTATTTCAGCTCCTGAAACATGGGACCAACACTTTACATGTTGCATTTATATTTTTGTTCAGTGTACAAAATAATTTCAACTTTTCAGCATTTGGAGAAGGCCACACGTTGCTTCTTAAATTCCATAACTGGAAGAGCCTTTTTCTACGTTTGAGTTTGACAATATGATACATAATATATATAAAAGTTATTAAGCAATAAGGCCCGAGGGGGTGTGGTATATGGCCAATATACCACGGCTAAGGGCTGTTCTTAGCACGACGCAACGTGGAGTGCCTGGATACAGACCTTAGCAGTGGTATATTGCCCATATACCATAAACACCTGAGGTGCCTTATTGCTATTATAAACTGGTTACCAACGTAGGGTGGCAGGTAGTTTAGTGGTTAATCCCCGAGCCGACTAGGTGAAAAATCTGTCAATGTGCCCTTGAGCAAGGCACTTAACCCTAATTGCTCCTGTAAGTCGTTCTGGATAAGAGCATCTGCTAAATGACTAAAATGTAAATGTGAATGTAATTAGAGCAGTAAAAATAAATGTTTTGTCATACCCGCGGTATACGGCTGTCAACCAACCAGCATTCAGGGCTTGAACCACCCAGTTTATAATAGTAATATAAACCAATCTCTATGATATGACTAATGTATGAACATATTACAGACTGTGCAATGCAATCAGTGATAGCAATTACAACAGGTAACTGCCAAAATAACGGAAACACTTGAGCTGGTGCTTCCACACAGGTGTGGTTCCTGAGTTAATTAAGCAATTAACATCCCATCATGCCTAAAGTCATGTATACAAATGTTGGGCAGGCCAATATTTTACCCACCATGGGTATGCCCCCATAGGATGACAATGCCCCCATCCACAGGGAACAAGTGGTCACTGAATGGTTTGACGAGCATGAAAATTATGTAAACCATATGCCATGGCTGTCTCAGGCACCAGATATCAAACCATGTGTTTGATGCGCTTGATAGTTCCATTCCATTGATAATATTCCAGCCATTACTATGAGCCCGTCCTCCCCAATTAAGGTGACACCAGCCGCCTGTGCCCAATGCCCTATTAAAGGACCAGTGTAGTCAAAAACGTGATTTTCCTGTGTTTTATATTTCCACACTATGAGGTTGGAATAATACTGTGAAAATTATAATGCCCTTTTAGTGTAAGAGCTGTTTGACATCACCAGGCGGAAATTAGTTGATCGACCAATAAGAAAGAGAGTTCCAGACCTGTCTGCCAATAACAGCTAGTTTTCAGTTTTCCCCTCCCACTCCCAGACAGTCCTAGCAAACTTGCTTGAGAAATGGCTCTTTGGTAAGTTGCTATTTTTGTTTATTTTTGACCATTTTAATTCAAAACAATCAAAGTAAGGTACCTAATTGTTACCCAGAAATTATTTGATATTGAGATAAAAATGGCTGCATTGATCCCCCTCGAGCTCGTGCAGTGGAGGAGATCTTTGTGGGCTATACTCAGCCTTGTCTCAGGGTAGTAGGTTGGTGGTCTGTTGATATCCCTCTGGTGGTGTGGGGGCTGTGCTTTGGCAAAGTGGGTGGGGTTATATCCTGCCTGGTTAGCCCTGTCCGGGGGTATCGTCGGACGGGGCCACAGTGTCTCCCGCCCCCCTCTGTCTCAGCCTCCAGTATCTATGCTGCAATAGTCTATGTGCCGGGGGGCTAGGGTCAGTCTGTTATATCTGGGCGGCATGTAGCTTAGTGGTTAAGAGCGTTGTGCCAGTAACCGAAAGGTCGCTGGTTCTAATCCCTGAGCCGACTAGGTGAAAAATCTGTCGATGTGCCATTGAGCAAGGCACTTAACCCTAATTGCTCTGGATAAGAGCGTCTGCTAAATTTCTAAAATGTAAAAAAAAAAAAAAATCCTGTGTGAATTTAAGTATGCTCCCTCTAATTCTCTCTCTCCCCTACCGGAGGACCTGAGCCCTAGGACCATGCCTCAGGACTACGTGGCCTGATGACTCCTTGCTGTCCACCTGGTTGTGCTGCTGCTCCAGTTTCAACTCTTCTTCCTGCGGCTATGGAACCCTGACCTGTTCACCGGACGTGCTACCTTGTCTCAGACCTGTTGTTTTCAACTCTCTCTCTCTCTCTACCGCACCTGCTATTTCAACCTCTAAATGCCCGGCTATGACAAGCCAAGTGACATTTACTCCTGATGTACTGACCTGTTGCAACCACTGTGAGTATTATTTGACCCTGCTGTTCATCTATGAATGTTTGAACACCTTAATGGCCATGTACTGTTATAATCTCCACCCGGCACAGCCAGAAGGGGACTGGCCACCCCTCAGAGCCATGTTCCTCTCTAGGTTTCTGCCTTTCTAGGGAGTTTTTCCTAGCCACTGTGCTTCTACATCTGCATTGCTTGCTGTTTGGGGTTTTAGGCTGGGTTTCTGTATAGCACTTTGTGACATCTGCTGATATAAAAAGGGCTTTATAAATACATGTGATTGATTTAAATACGCTTTATGTTGGTGTTTCCTTTATTTTGGCAGTTACCTGTATGTAGCGATTCAATAATGTTTTAGGGTGTTTATCAACAACATTCAAAGAAATTAACCCCATAAATGGTCAGCTAAACACAGCACAGTTCTTATTTTGTACACCATCATATTGTTAAGCAATCCTCCCCTCCTCCCAAAATAAAAGTGAAAAAAACAGGTTCCTGTTGTTAAAATTTCATCCTTTATTTAATCACAGGATTTTATGTAACACAGTTTCTTGAACATGGATTTAACTGGTGAAGGCAGATGGTATTTTCCGGTCTCTGTGTTTATGCTGCTTCCTCCCCTGTTGCCCCATCAAATATTTTCGGTTTGTTGGGATTATTTCTGACCAGCCAACCTGCCAGCCAAGTCTTCAGGAAAAAAACACAAATAACTGAATTAGCTGATTCATGTAACATGTACTAATGTTGATAGTGAATATTTGAATGTCCACATTTCTCATTCCACCCTGATACTTACAAAGGGGTCAACAGGCTTCTGTTTGCAGAGCTCAGTGAGTCCGCTGAGCAGTGTGGGGCTCACAAACCTGCCCAGGTAGTCTTTGGCTGCCTCTCCCATGGGGATGGGCTCAATCACAGCTGGACAGAGAGAGGGAGGGACCGACACACGGGTGTATCAGAGAGCAAATCACAGTGGTATAACACACACTGAGCACAGGGATACTCCCTCCAACTTCTATTTACCTGTTGTACTGTCTGTGTGTGTATGGCACTCATGCAGTATAATTCAGGTTGTCATTGTCAATATAAGAACTTGTATTAAATGGATTACCTTCGATAAAACAAAGGTAATTACTGGCGCTGAAAAAAGGTAAATATTCAATGCGTGTGTGTGTGTTTAACTCACAGTTGGGAAACATGAACTTGATCTCTCTCTCGGCTGAGGAGAACGAGTCGCTGCCGTGCACTGCATTCCTCAGGTCAGAGGTGCCGTACTTGGCTCGCAGACTTGGGGAGAGATACAAGATGCACATGTTAGCCTACAGTAGAAGTGCTGAGTCAAACAGGGAACACACATGCAGTACACATACAGTATTGATCGAGCATATGTACAATCACTCTGTACTGGTATGCATATATGCAGTAGGTATGCAGTAGTAATAAAATAACTAGGCCTACCGGTATTTGAATTGGAAGGACAACATTTTTAAGAGCATTGGACCAGTAACTAAAAGGTCGCTGGATCGAATCCCAGAGCCGACTTGATGAAAAATCTGTTGATGTGCCCTTGAGCAAGGCCTTAACCCTACTTGCAGCCCTGACCTAGCTGTACAATCCTCTTCCTTCTGACTGACCATTCTGGGTGAGTCTCCCTGGCCTTGGTGCAGTTAACAGGTCCTATGATGGTCTTCCAGTGGGCGATAGCCTGGTCTCTGGCCAGAGCCAGGGCGATGATGGGTCCAGAGCTCATGAAGGCCGTTAGGCTGGGGAAGAACAGCTTCCCATACTGCTCAGCATAGAAGTCACTGCACCGCTCCGGACTCAGCTGCAGCTTCCGTTTCTGTCAAAGAGCAGTTACACAGACACACATAATGTCAAATACAGCGATGAATGACAAGTGTACATGGCAGACGTTGAGCTTGCCTGATCATGGCTGGGGATGTAACTAATGCACTGCACCCAATAATCCGATCAATTAAGTTTGTTTTGCCTAAGTCCTCCATCTATGCCCTTTGGCTCAACACTCTGGTATTGCCTAGCAAGAAGACCACACATGTTGTTTTCAATAGTACACCCTCTTTGTATTTACACATTGACAGTTAGTCACACAACCTGTTTGCTAGCTGGCTAGTGGCTATATCACTGCATGTGCAGCATGAATGTTTGTGATCAACAGCTGTGCTGCATGTCTGAATAAACAGTGAACACCAACCTGTAAAATAGTGAACCCAGATCGGAGAATGATGTCCTCAATCTCCTCAGCTTGGTGTATAGCATCGGGTTTGATCAATGCGAGAGTTCTCTCCACATAAATCCGAGGAGAGGGCATCTGATTCTTTGGAGTTTCATAATCCATAACGTTAGCTCTTGTAAACAATCTTGACCAAATCAAAACATGGATAGGGGAAGTTGGAATTAACTTGAACACTTTGCAATAGATGGATATGAATCTGTTCAAGTCTAATCAAAACATTGTCAGGTTCAGACTGTACTGTTAATTATTTATGCATAGTTTTTTTTTTTTTTTTTGTCATTTAGCAGACGCTCTTATCCAGAGCGATTTACAGGAGCAATTAGGGTTAAGTGCCTTGCTCAAGGGCACATCGACAGATTTGTCACCTAGTCGGCTCAGGGATTAGAACCAACGACCTTTCGGTTACTGGCACAACGCTCTTAACCACTAAGCTACCTGCCGCCCCGTAGTCACTTTAACTCTACCCACATGTACATATTACCTCAACTAGCCGGTGCCCCCGCACATTGACTCTGCACAGGTACCCCCCTGTATATAGCCTCCCTACTGTTATTTTATTTTACTTCTGCTCTTTTTTTCTCAACACTTTTTTTTGTTGTTTTATTTTACTTTTTTAAATGAAGAAATAAATGCATTGTTGGTTAAGGGCTGTAAGTAAGCATTTCACGGTAATGTCTACACCTGTTGTATTCGGCGCATGTGGCAAATACAATTTGATTTGAAACACCTGTTGTATTCGGCGCATGTGGCAAATCAAATTTGATTTGAAACATTGTCTGGCTTAGCCCAACCGGCCGCAACGCAAGATTACGCCATTATTCCTTTAAGATGACAAACGACTTAAAAATTATAATATCGCCATCTTGCGGCCGGTTGGGCTTGTTCTGGCTCAATGTCAAGACCTGGCAGTCTGATGCTAACGTTAGCTAGCCAATTTAGCTACATACCGTATGTTAAATTCCCACTGGGATAACGACGCTTGCCAAATTACCAAGCGTTCAAAGCAGATAAACCTCAACCTGAGGAGAGTAAGAAAAGCCCATGGCAAGCTACCATTGTTAAATATTTTTACACAGACAAAAAAGGTTCCTGCTTGCTACAAACCTTTTCAGAAGCAAGTTAATTCACATCGATGTCGTTCGCATTGTTGCTAGGATACCCACTACGGGAAACGATTTGGACCACTTTCACGAGTCAGTGGAGAAACAAAGGCCATGTCTAGACTTGACAGTTCATGCAGCTTTATGTATTCTGATCTGAGTTCTATCATGGAATTCCAAACGCGTCATGCATCTACATTTAAATGTGTCCAGTGTCCGGAATCCCTTCTCCCGCGCTATATTCAAAATGCCAGTATGCATTCTGCAAACGGTGGAACAGGAAAAATATGCTAAACACAACTGATGGCAGTAGCTAACTAGCCAAATAACCCAGCAAGCTAGCAAGTTGCTCTAGAGATTGCAAACGGGTTAGCATAACTCGAGCCAAAGAAAATCGTTTTCCTAAATATTAGGTAGCTGGCTAGCATTTGAGGCCAGCAAACACGTTCCTCACATGCTACTAAGGCATTTCCTCTAATGTAATGAAAAGGTGCCTCGGTCTCATAAACAAGGGTGCGTTCGTAAATTCACTCTGGCTATCTACTCCGATTTCAGAGCACTCTCGTCTGAGTGTGCCAGAGCGCAGAATAACTGATGAGTTTACGAACGCACCCTAAGTTTTCTTGAGACTTGTGGGAGGAGTGCTGATGACGTTGCCAACGGTATGCGTTTGTGGTAGCCTGATTGCGTCCAGACGGTGGAGAAATCCGGACAAAATGCATCCCTGACCACCAGAAGTTATAATTTTGAGAAATATAATTACGTCACCAAATAATTGTCTATATTCCAATAGATGAAAACACTATTTTGCAAAGAAGGTCTACAGTAGCCTCAACAACACTCTGTAGGGTAGCACCATGGTGTAGCTAGCTTCTGTCTTCCTCTGGGTGCATAGACTTCAATACAAAACCTAGGAGGCTCATGGTTCTCACCCCCTTCCATAGACTAACACAGTATTTATGACAACTTCCGGAGGACGTCCTCCAACCTATAAGATATCTTGCAGCATGACCCCCCCCACACACTTAGCTAGTTTAGCCTACTGAAACACCCTGCTCAAACAGAGGGATGCTATGTTAGCTAGCTGGCTATGACTATCCAACACAACATTGGAACTCTTCCAAGTCAAGGTAAGCTTTTGGTTTTACTAATTGATTGCCACCGGGACGCGCCGGTGTAACTGCTTACACTAACATTACTGCATGACTGTAGTGGGTTTACTAACGCGTTAGTTCTATTAGCTATGCTGACTATGATGTTACTTTAGCTAATATGGTGACAACGATGTAGGTTGTGTGTAGTGGTTTGGCTTTGAAAGTTCTCTCACCTGGTCACATACAGCTGATGTGTTGTGCATTGAAGTCCACAACCGAAGGGAAGCTGTGAAAGGAGAGTACATAACGTAGATGCGAGGAGGAATACAACGTGGCTCCTATGAAACTTAACTTTGTTTACATGTGATCAGGGGTGTATTCATTCTGCCGATTATGTTGAAAAACGTTCCTTAAACAGAAGCAAACGGAACAAAATGGGGATAAACATACCTGAATTTGTCCAATAGAAACTCGTTTGCAACTGTTGGACTAATGATTACACCCACCATCAGGTAGATGCAGGTAAGAGTGTGCAAGGCTGTATTGAATGTCACATCAAAATTTGTCTCTCAACCTATGTGCACCTATGTTGTAAATTTTCTTTCATAGGCTAGGTTGTACAACCTCATGATGGGTATAGGGAAAATTTGAGTATCATGTAGTAGCCTAAACCTATCGCTGTTACATTTAACTGGGTGAATGGAATATGAATGACAGTCATCCAATATGCTGTATTAGAAATAAGGCCATGCTCATGAAGAACGAAAAAAAAGTCCTCCCTCATCAGAAATGGCACCGACCACCACGGTCATTGATAGTAACAAGTTTGACTAAATGGGCTGGATGAAGTTACAGAACTTCTCAACTATATCCCAGATGTCCAAATATGTAGCAGCCAATACAGAATCACAACCCACTTACTACAAAATGTCAATGAAAAATATGCCTGCATCAAAATTGCACCACACATCGTACAAACTAATTCAACCAAACAAGACACAAAGTTAATTTAAAACTGTATTTTATTCATTGCTGAATCTGTGAAAAGGTCCTTATCGGGTTCCGATGGTAACCTGCCACACTCGGATCAGGTTATCGGTGTAGCCAGCAAACAGGGTCTGTTGAGAGACAAGAGACTAAGAAATGGCCGGAAGATGCAAATCTAAACAGATACTGACAATGAATCAATAGTGGTTTCAACTATTCCAAGTGTTAAGGGGCATGAATATGTAGTCGTTCTTGTACCCATCATTATTGCAGGACTTGTCGTCAGAGCCAAAGCTCAGGCAAGAAATGTCACTTTGTAATCAAAGGGCAAGGCTACAAAGAAATCCAACTGACAGCTTTCTAACAGACTGAAGTAACATGACCCTGTTCTAGAAGTCCACCCAGGGTTCTAATGCAGTTCTGTGGGATGTGATGCTAATGGTCATATCATACCTGTCCGTCAGCAGACCAGGCCAGAGAGGTGCACTGTGGGGGCTCGGCCTTGCTGTTGGTGCTGATCACCTCCTGTCTTAGCTCATCCACAATGATCTTACCCTCCAGATCCTGAAGGGAGGGGAGGAGAAGGGGAGATTAACATGAGAACAGGATTGATGGAGGCATGGGTTGTGCTTAGTTTGGACCAACTCATATTTCAATGAAGTGAACATGGCAATCACATTCTTTGGTCCAAAAATCCAGATGTTTCAGAAAATGACAGTTAGCAGAGCTCAGAAACAGCCTCTATCATCATAGACATAAGATGGCATTGGAATTTCCATCATCGCGCCTTGACTAATAGTGTGAATAGAGACAACACCAAACTCTTTCCAACCAACACTGTTTATTATCTATGCAGTCACTTTACCCCTACATTTTAGTCATTTAGCAGACGCTCTTATCCAGAGCAACCTAGTGAGTGCATACATTTTCATACTGGCCCCCCGTGGGAAACGAACCCACAACCCTGGCGTTGCAAGCGCCATGTTCTACCAACTGAGCTACAGGGGACTACTTACATGTACAAATTACCTCGACTAACCTGTACCCCCACACATTGACTCGGTACCGGTACCCCCTGAATATAGCCTCATTAGTTATTGTGTTTTTAACTTTATTTAGTAAACTATTTTCTTAAAACTGCATTGTTGGTTAAGGACTTGTAAGTAAGCATTTCACGGTAAGGTCTACACCCGTTTTATTTGGCGCATGTGACTTACCCAGATCTTGATGCTGGGACCGGTGGCGGCACAGAGCCAGTATCGGTTGGGGCTGAAGCAGAGGGCGTTGATGTTGTCACCACTATCCAGGGTGTACAGGTGCTTGCCCTCGTTGAGGTCCCACAGCATGGCCTGACCGTCCTATAGGAGGAGAGAATGGGTCTCAGGGTCAAAGGAAGGTGCAAATTAAAACATGTATGCTAGCTTTAAAATGGTAACTGATATCCAATCAAGTGTCGAGTCCATTGGGGATACACACCATCAATAAGAACCCTAAATGACAAATCTCAGTGGACAGGTGTGAGTGAACTCTCGAAAGTGCTGGTTGCGTTCAGAAACAGCCTCTTTATCATCATAGTGAAACAGACGGCATGAGAATCCATCATTACTTTGAAACCAGCACATTTCTCACTATGCTACTTCTCAATTACTCCAATTCATATCACTGAACTGTGCATCAATTTACCCTGTTCACATTGACCAAGCAAGGGTAGAACTGCTGGTGAACAGTTTGAACATGTTAAATCTATATTGTAAAAGCAAATATTAGTAAAATGCTTTCATCATACCTTTCCACCAGAAGCGCAGAGGGAGCCATCGGGAGAGACAGTCACTGTGTTCAGATAGCCAGTGTGGCCAATGTGGTTAGTCTTCAGCTTGCAGTTGGCCAGGTTCCACACCTAGAAACAGAAAGGGGGGGGGGGGAGAGAGACCGTGAGTCAGGGTACATTGTTAAGGGAAATGTAGTCAAAGTGTTTCAACCATTAAGTGTTACAAACATTGCATGAATGTGCAGTCTAGTTTCTTTACCCATCATCATTGCAGGACCTGTCGTCAGACCTGAGGTTCAGGTGATAAAACGTCACAGGGCAGGAAACCATTATTCATTCTTTGACCTTGATTTATTAAATCTACAGCAACCAAACCCCTCCTTAACAAGTACTTAAAAATCTCAGCTTAGTTCAATAAGGAACGCATCCCACTGTCCTAGTGAGTCACAAGTGATGTACACTTGTCGTACCTTGACCATCTTGTCCCAACCACAGGAGACGATGATGGGGTTGCTGCTGTTGGGGGAGAAGCGCACACAGGACACCCACTCAGAGTGACTCTCATCCTGGATGGTGTACTTGCAGACTCCCAGGGTGTTCCACAGCTTGATGGTCTTGTCCCGGGAACCAGACACGATCTGGCGGTTGTCAGCGGAGAAAGCCACACTCAGGACGTCCTTGGTGTGGCCCACAAAGCGGCGGGTGGTGGTGCCACTTGAAGGAAGTGGACAGTTGTGTAAATCTCCATGCTACAGATGACTAAACTTCTAATGGCGTTGTCAGGTCAACACTATAGAAACCAAGGTAGCACATGAGATTTTATATATATAGCCATGTCTAATCTTTCACAGGTAAACGCAGGTTGCGTTCAGAAACAGCCTCTTTATCATCACAGAGATACAGTTGGCATTGGAAGTTTCATCACCACGTTGGAACCAGCATTTTGACTCTCCGTCTACCTATGGAGGCTTTCATTCAAACTCTGCAGTGACAAATTATAAATTAATCCTGGTCTTTAGTTTAGACCAAAATCATTTGAATCAGATATTAAACCTCAACTAGAACAAATGCCTGCACACAATGTAGCCCTCCAGTACAGGAATGACCCATGTGTAGTTTATGGGAACCCTAGATGAAGCTGAACCATCACCCCACCAACCCTCCAGACTTACGTGGTGAGGTCCCACAGACGGAGGGTTCCATCCCAGGACCCAGACAGCGCGAACTGTCCATCTGAGGAGATGACGACGTCGCTCACAAAGTGAGAGTGTCCCTTAAGGGCGCGTTGGGGGATGCCATAGTTTGTCTCATCACGGGTCAGCTTCCACATGATGATAGACTTGTCTGGAAAAAAATTAATAATGCTGATTCAATTGATTAAACGGTAGCGAATGCAGTTGAACAGGGGTTAGTTGTGTCTTTATAAAGGTAGTGTTGATTTTTCCAAAACAATCGGTAGGCCTAACTAGTTGGCTAATGTAACATGGATGTTGACAGAAGCAGGAAGTGCATAGCCATTCAAATTGTACCACTTGGTAGCCATGTATGGGAAGCTAGCTAAGTAGCTAACTAGCCAGCTAACTACCGGCATGTTGTCTTCACTGACAGACAAGTAAATTCATACAAGTCTCAGTCAGGAACATGTAATCGGTTTCTATGTTAGTTACAATTAGATTAGAAGGTCTAGAAATGCAAGTTTCATAAAATGGTCTCCTGAACATTTTTGCCACTTGGCGGTGCACGTGGATATCAGCATAGTTGACGTTTGCTGCCAAGGACTAGATAACTAGCAGTCGGCTGGAAAACTTATTTGGAGAGAGCAGTTTATCCACTAGTCATTGCGTTTTTGAAGCACAACTTGCTTAATACAACGTGCCGCCTACATTGATCTCACTTTATATCACTCACACTATTAAGGAAGTCGCGACTACACATCAATTCAGCAACTCACGGCTAACATGCTAGGGGTTAGCCATATTGTCGTCCATCGTAGCGGGCGGAGAAGCGCTTACCTCGGGATGCAGACAGAATCATATCGGGAAACTGAGGGGTAGTCGCGATCTGGGTGACCCAACCATTATGCCCCTTTAGGGTCCCCCTTACTGTCATCTGCTCGGTCATTTTGGCGACGTTTTAGTGTGCCTTTTTAAAGGATGGATTTAGATTAGTTTGAGGGCTAGGTTTCCCTAGGTCCTCTCACATTTAGGCACAGAGAAAGAGGAAGTTCTGACCCGGATGCAGAACCTTTGTGTGGTCGATCGCGCGCAGAGTACACTGGGAAGAACGGTTTTAACCCCTTCCTGCCCGTGTGCTTAATTTTTTTGAAACCTGGAATGTACTGTTCATGTGAAACAGTAGCAGAAAGATATTATTTGCAAGGTTGAAGAGACCATTACAAAGCTATAATTTAAAGCACATAGTCAATGTTTTTACATATCAAATCACATGAAATATATGCATTTGTAAAAAAAATATTACAACACATCATTTAGATAGGTAGAAATCATTGAAAGTAGCAATCATGTAATGGATGGTGGTAATCCAAAAAAGTGATCCCAAAAATGTTACAGTTACATAAATGTAAATTCTGTAAAGGTGTGACATGAAATAGGCCACAGACTGCCTTTCATTACAATGCAATCAGCAATTATCAGGGCTCTACAGTGCGACCATTTTACATGCATATGCGGCAAAAATATTTTGCTAAGCAACCTGTAATTTTAATTTAGGAGCACCAGTGTGCCTAGAAACTTTAAGGATTCTTTAATACCGCAATTGTCATTGTGCTCCGAAATTTATTTGTGTGCGCCTACATTATTCAATTTAGGCGGACATGCTCCTACTTTAAAAAAAGGTCAGGGTAGAGTCATGGTTATTAGTAGGCCTAATGATTGCAGTCAGAATGTATTATGGTCCTCTGCTCTGAATAATGCAGTAGACCTACACTTCCTAATGCAAAATAAATGTTCCTCCTAATTATAAACCTATATAGCCTATTTTTATAACAAAAGGAGGGTAACTGAACTGATCAATGTGGAGACATAGTCAGCCTTTGTGAGATTATAAAATAACTTTTATGGACAAGTTCTGAGATATTATTGGAATATAATAGCAGAGAATGGTTTGGGTCTCCCGAGTGGCACAGTGGTCTAAGGCACTGCATCGCAGTGCTAGCTGTGCCACGAGAGATCCTGGTTCAAATCCAGGCTCTGTCGTAGCCGGCCGTGACCGGGAGACCCATGGGGCAGCGCACAATTGGCCCAGCGTCGTCTAGGGTAGGGGAGGGAATGGCCGGCAGGGGATGTAGCTCAGTTTGTAGAGCATGGCGTTTGCAACGCCAGAGTTGTGGGTTCGATTCCCACGGGGGGTATGATTTAAAAAAATAAAAAATACTAATAATGTATGCACTAACTGTAAGTCGCTCTGGATAAGAGCGTCTGCTAAATGACTTAAATGTAAATGTTATAGGAGGGGGTCGCAGTTCCGGAGCGACCCACTAGGTGTCATCCTCCAACAACCTTAGGCACCTCCTCACTCACAGTCGGGACTAATCATCATCCTTTGGTGTCACCTGTGTCTATCGGTTCACCTGTGTATTTATGCCCTGTGTTCCCTTGCTCAGTTTTCTCTGCTAGTTTCTCTATGTCCAGCAGTACTACTCAGTGTCTGATCGGAGATCTATGTACAGGTACTTGAGAAGTGTTAGGGCGGCAGGTAGCTTAGTGGTTAAGAGTGTTGTGCCAGTAACCGAAAGGTCGCTGGTTCTAATCCCTGAGCCGACTAGGTGAAAAATCTGTCGATGTGCCCTTGAACAAGGCACTTAACCCTAATTGCTCCTGTAAGTCGCTCTGGATAAGAGCGTCTGCTAAATGACTAAAATGTTTTTTTAAAATGTAAAAGTTCTCCCTGTTTCGTTATTTGTTTCAGTCTTAGGTAGTATTTCGTATTTTGGATGTCAGCCGGTTTTTGGAGACTTATTTGCTCCACCTTTCTTTATGGTGATAAGTCCGTTATTTTGTATTTTGGCTTCGGGACCACCAGTAAAGATCCTGGTTTCACCATCTCTGCCTACTGCCTACTGTCTACTGTACAGTGGGGAGAACATGTATTTGATACACTGCCGATTTTGCAGGTTTTCCTACTTACAAAGCATGTAGAGGTCTGTAATTTTTATCAACTGTGAGAGACGGAATCTAAAACAAAAATCCAGAAAATCACATTGTATGATTTTTAAGTAATTAATTTGCATTTTATTGCATGACATAAGTATTTGATCACCTACCAACCAGTAAGAATTCCGGCTCTCACAGACCTGTTAGTTTTTCTTTAAGAAGCCCTCATGTTCTCCACTCATTACCTGTATTAACTGCACCTGTTTGAACTCGTTACCTGTATAAAAGACACCTGTCCACACACTCAATCAAACAGACTCCAACTTCTCCACAATGGCCAAGACCAGAGACCTGCACAAGGCTGGGATGGGCTACAGGACAATAGGCAAGCAGCTTGGTGAGAAGGCAACAACTGTTGGCGCAATTATTAGAAAATGGAAGAAGTTCAAGATGACGGTCAATCATCCTCGGTCTGGGGCTCCATGCAAGATCTCACCTCGTGGGGCATCAATGATCATGAGGAAGGTGAGGGATCAGCTTAGAACTACACGGCAGGACCTGGTCAATGACCTGAAGAGAGCTGGGACCACAGTCTCAAAGAAAACCATTAGTAACACACTACGCCATCATGGATTAAAATCATACAGCGCACGCAAGGTCCCCCTGCTCAAGCCAGCGCATGTCCAGGCCCGTCTGAAGTTTGCCAATGACCATCTGGATGATCCAGAGGAGGAATGGGAGAAGGTCATGTGGTCTGATGAGACAAAAATAGAGCTTTTTGGTCTAAACTCCACTCGCTGTGTTTGGAGGAAGAAGAAGGATGAGTACAACCCCAAGAACACCATCCCAACCGTGAAGCATGGAGGTGGAAACATCATTCTTTGGGGATGCCTTTCTGCAAAGGGGACAGGACGACTGCACCGTATTGAGGGGAGGATGGATGGGGCCATGTATCACGAGATCTTGGCCAACAACCTCCTTCCCTCAGTAAGAGGATTGAAGATGGGTCGTGGCTGGGTCTTCCAGCATGACAACGACCCGACTCGGCCAGGGCAACTAAGGAGTGGCTCCGTAAGAAGCATCTCAAGGTCCTGGAGTGGCCTAGCCAGTCTCCAGACCTGAACCCAATAGAAAATCTTTGGAGGGAGCTGAAAGACTGTATTGCCCAGCGACAGCCCCGAAACCTGAAGGATCTGGAGAAAATCCCTGCTGCAGTGTGTGCAAACCTGGTCAAGACCTACAGGAAACGTATGATCTCTGTAATTGCAAACAAAGGTTTCTGTACCAAATATTAAGTTCTGCTTTTCTGATGTATCAAATACTTATGTCATGCAATAAAATGCAAATTAATTACTTAAAAATCATACAATGTGATTTTCTGGATTTTTGTTTTAGATTCCGTCTCTCACAGTTGAAGTGTACCTATGATAAAAATTACAGACCACTACATGCTTTGTATGTAGGAAAACCTGCAAAATCGGCAGTGTATCAAATACTTGTTCTCCGCACTGTATATCCTGCACCGCACCTGGGTCACACCTCACCTCACCCCAACCCTTACAAGAACAAATTACCAGAAGAGGTTCAAGAAGGTAACAGTATATTTTATGGAGTTTATATCAGTCTACTTGTTGAGTTAACCAGATTTGGCATAATACAGAGATAACGATAGCAGTTACAAAAATAGCTTAATTATTTTACAACCAAATAAACTCACAAAATTCATCTAATTATTTTTTATAAAACACCAAACTGTCCTCAGACGTGTCAATAATGGATGGCAATTATTCCTTAAAAAAATAAAAACTGAAGATATCTGCCAAAGAAATAAACACATTTAATATTGCAGAGAAACATCAGTTTGTTAAAGGGCAATTCCGCCACATTTCAACCTCATATTCATTATCTCCAGTACCATACCAGTGTCTACATATGTGTAAACTGTGTATTTCTATGATCTGTGGTTAAAAAGAGTCGATGTCTGCGCCCCCCCCCCCCCCCCCCCCCCGGAAATTTAATTAGCATTATAAAAAAATCCCCATCAAAATCCATCTGTTTAAGCTAGAGATATCTTTTTTTTTTTTCACTCTTAAGGATTAAAAAGATAAGAAGAAACGTGCTAGAAAATGGTTCTATGTGATATCCCAGGGTGATTGAATTCCTAGCCAGAGAGGGTGTTTTCTTGCTCCCCACACCGCTGTGAATCTCATAGTGTTTGAAAATCATTGTTTTTAAAATGTTTAAACTTTTTATGATGTCATCGGGTAGAACTGTTTAACTTTATATATTTTTCTACAAAACGTAGAAATGCGCTGTTTTCACATATGTAGACACTGGCATTGTGCTGGAGATTATGAAAAATAGGTTGAAAAGTGGTGGAATTGCCCTTTAAGGTAGGCACACTGCTGCGCACAGTATGCCCAATACTAAATGACCTTTAAGGTAGGCACGTTGCTGCATACAGTAGGTCCAATACTAAATGACCTTTAAGGTAGGCACGTTGCTGCATACAGTAGGTCCAATACTAAATTACCTTTAAGGTAGGCACATTGCTGCATACAGTATGTCCAATACTAAATGAGAATGAAAAAGGAAACAAATATGATTGATCACCACATCACAGTTGGAAATAACACTTTGTGAATGAAAATACTGAAAGTTCTGCATTAGTAAAGTACAATATAATGAAATAACTGCTTATTAACTTCCATAGTCATACATGTAATAGCATAAATGTGGTATAATGAAACTCACAAGTTATACGCTCCTTATATCAGTCATGTGCTCTTGACATTGAAATGGAGGTGTGTGTGTGTGTGGGGGGGGGAATAACAGAATAACAACAACAAAATCCAGAAAAACGCATGTCAAAAATGTTATAAATTGATTTGCATTTTAATGAGGGAAATAAGTATTTGACCCCCTCTCAATTAGAAAAATGTCTGGCTCCCAGGTGTCTTTTATACAGGTAACGAGCTGAGATTAGGAGCACACTCTTAAAGGGAGTGCTCCTAATCTCAGTTTGTTACCTGTATAAACGACACCTGTCCACAGAAGCAATCAATTAATCAGATTCCAAACTCTCCACCATGGCCAAGACCAAAGAGCTCTTCAAGGATGTCAGGGACAAGATTGTAGACCTACA